TCAGAAACGACACAGAATTCCACTAAACGAGATGATAGGAATTCAACAACGGTTGTCCTATTGCGTACTGTTGCCTTCAAATTGGTTGTTCAGGTTATCGGGTACAAACACGCAAAGTTAGCCAAGAAAAGTTATAAAAACTTAAAAAGGAGAAAAAAGGCCTTAACTGCTCCTTTCAATACGGGTCTGTTAAATTTCTTGCAGGTGATATTTTTGCATCTTAAGTACGTAACACTTGTGTCATAGGAACAGCAGTGCCCTGTCAAAATCACCGCGCTCGCGCGCCTGCGCAGCAGACCTGGGGCGCGCAGGGCCGCTGGGCCGCGGGCTGAGCTCCGGGTGCGCGGAGGCCGCGGGTCCGAGCCCGACCTCGCCTCCTCCTCTGTTTACTCGCCACCGTCCGCACGACAGTGCTCTGCGGAGGCAGGTGCTCCCGCGCTCTCCGCCCCGCCGCGCCCACCGCATCCCGCACAGAGGCTTCGCGCTCCGCGCTCCTCCGCGCCCGTGCGCCTTCCCGCGCCTCCTCCGTCCGGTCCTCTCTGCCGGCCGGCCGGCCGCTCCTGCCCGCTCACATCCCGCCTTCCGCCCGCTCCTTGCGCCTGCTCCGCTTGGTCGCTGTGAGCTTCACGCGGGAGTCAGCGCGCCGCTAAGTGCCGGCGGTGCCGCAGCGGTCCCCGGGGCAATGCCGGTCCTCTCCGTGGCACTTAGGACTAATTAAAAAGACGTGAGCTTTTGCTAATTTTATTTAATGTGTGGTTTCAGCATGTTTTGTATCACTTGCTTTAAATAACCAAGTTATTAAGTTACTGGAACACGACAAATGTATTTCGTTTTCATATTAATTAATCATTTATAAATATTATAAAAATGGGAAATACTAGAGTGAAGAGTATTGGTTGAACGGTCACAATAAATAAGAAACCTACTCTTAAAATCAAAGCGGGGAGATTCCCGCTGTTACTCAGTGGTACAGGGCGCGGCTCTTGTGTGAGTCCCTAGGTTCAGTCCCAGCCCCGGCCTGAAAAAAAAATCAAAAGAACTTTTGAGAGTAGAAGATGAATTAGCAAAGTATCATGTTCAGACACTGACCAAAAGCATAAAAAGGTCACACTATTTTTTGCAGTGTCACAGTTTTGAGATGTTTTATTACTGGAATAAAATTGAATATTTATCAGTGAAGAAACTTAGAACAATATTGTCTAGTGTGATTTAACCCCAGTAACAGCTTGGTCCCCTCAAGGACGGCAACAGCTGGACACAGTGGAAGGGGTGGCCGCAGACAGGTCATGACACAAGCTCCATCGCTCACCACAAACTTGTCAGATGTCTCCTCTGTCACGGAGAAACATGCCTCACCATGGTCAGTGCAGCAGAGCGGGACCAGGGACCAGAAAGGCCACAGCTCTGACCTCCAACTCAGATTCCTGTGCTCCGGGAGTAACAGATGGGCATTAACCCACCTGGAATAGAGAAAGGCTAGTGGAGAAGGTGGCAGGAAGAGGGTAGGCAGGTATACGGGTCAGCCTTGCCTCAGCATGCATGAGTCCACATTACCCAGAGGAGAGGACCCAGGAGGAGGAGGAGGAGGAGCAGGAAGGGGAGGAGGAGGGGAGAAGGAGGAGGGGAGGAGGAGGAGGGGAGGAGGAGGAAAAGGAGGAGGAGGTAGGTAGTTGGAGTTTCACAAGTTTCAATCAAAGCTGTTTGACTTCTGGACCTCTGGTGCTGATGGAAAAATCT